TAGATTTTTGATCAAAATCACTCCAAAGAGAATTGCTGTTTGTTTGATCCACGTTATGTTCCGGTAAATTATCATTTTGAAATCTAGTTATACACTGTTCCCTGACCATTCTCCATTCTACCATTGTAAAATTTACCGTTACTTTGCTTTGGCGACGCTTACTATGAAATTATATTTTAACGATGATGTTTGAGTATGAAAGTATCGACATAATAGGTTTGTATAGTAACTTCTCCAGTAAAACATTGCAGCGAGAGCGTAAAAGCAAAATAGAGCGTAAAATTGAGAAGAACAGAAAACTAGCAGAAAAAGTTAATGAACACAAAACTAGCAAAAACTTGCAAGTGAACAGCTGTTGCACTGTTTTGATATTCTGCTGTAAACATTTTACTATTTATAAATCATTTTTAAACGCTTCGCTTTACACACACGCACTTATACAGTCCAGTACATCATTAATATTTTGATTTCTACTCATTTTACTTTTGTTTGTGCTGAACCAATTCAACAAATGGCGGCTTTTTACTCTTATTCTTCTTCTTCTTCTGCTAGCTAATTTCTGCTAGTAAAAATTTCACTAGCAAGAATTTGCAGCTCTCCCGTGTTGCTACGCTCTCGATTCAGTGCTCTCTTGCCAATTGTTTGGGTTATCATACGCTTTTCCAGTAAAAATTTGCAGGTTCCAGTACAAATTAGTACTGACTATTGGTTACTATACAAACCTATTTTTTCAATACTCATCGAATACTCAAATTGCTTAACAGTATCAAATATATACTATTCCATACTCGATACCATTCACATCACTAATGGCTACTTGAGAAACTGTCACTTACACCATTAACCGCCCTATTCCCACACCACTGACAAAACTCAGCGGCTGACTATTGCCTTTACTACTGCGCCTAATACTATGCCGCAAATTTATTTTAAGCTGTCGTATGACAATTGTCAGTTTTATAGTTATGACCTACTGAGGAAGTGACAACGGCGAAACAATGTTTATATTGTGCTTTAGGCGCAGTAATTGTGACAATAGTCATATGATGAATTTTGTCAGTGATGTGGGAATTAGGCGGTAATTAAAAATTGATTACTATACACTCTGCGACAATTATGTAATATTTTTCACAAGTATTCCAGTAAAACACTCGATGGATTTACGAAAGTTGGCTCGTATTTTTATTTTATGCCCTACTAAAGTTTTCATGTAAGTAGTTTTCAAAAACGTGGAAACAATCGTTATAATAAATGTCTGAGGGAAATAAAAGATTAAGACTTATACATTAATGGCATTATTCATAAGAAATAAAATAGCTTTATAAATGGTTTATAAATTGTAAAATGTATGAAAACATCAATTTATAAAGCTCTATACACCAGAGCTGTGTAATGATTGAATCAATTGAGTGTGCATTCTCATTTTTTTCGTTTAAAAAATGTGATTGTTTGATTTAAAAAATTTAACAACCACTCTTCAGATTGGTTACAAATTGCAAACACAAAATATGTAGTGTGTTATGGAATGGTTGATACCCATTCACATAGAGAATGTGAATGCAAAAAAAAAACTCAATCATGTATGATTGGACGTTTATGGGAATGCAATCTGTCATTATCATTCAGTACTAATACTATTTGTTGTATCAGGGTTGAAATTTTTGCACCCAAAATGTGAAACTAGAAGATTGCCATCTCCCTTAAAATAAGTAAACAAATAAATATTTGGTGCTAAAATATTTTTCTAAGTGTTTGGCCGAACTTCTGCTCAAACTTGAGGCATGAGTTCTGATTTTATAAGAAGAGTTTTCAAGGCAGAAATATACTCGAAGGTATGCCATCGCGTGCCGAAGGACGACTGCTATTTTGTGTTATGATCTGACCAGGTATTTAACCATGGTCCTATGGAGTGGAAGTACGCACATGTAATCACTCTGCTACGGCGGCCGCCGTAAGTACATGCTATACATATCGTCGTTTAAAGTACAAAACCGCGTATCAAGAAAATGCAAAACCGCGTAATTGCATAAATTATTTTCTAGAGAGTAAAGTCACCCATATTTCAAAATGGTTATCTTTTTTATAAAGCAAACGTATTTCTGGCTAGTATATTTCAGGACGAATGGATAAGAATTGAGCCAAGAGCTTTTGTGAGCAAATCCAATTTTTGGCAGCCAATGTCAATCACACGGTTTTGCAGAATGACGATACGCGGTTTTGTACTTTAAACGACGATATATATGTACACATATTAGATTATTTATTCTCAAAATGCATGAAAACTATAGTATGCTTGCAAACAATTAATAACATTTTGTGATAAACAGTTTTACAAATGTATTTGCACTTCAAATTTGTATTTTAATAAAGTATTAATTAAATAAATTATTATTGTAAATTATTATTTTAATAAATAGATATAGAGATATTTATACTTGGCAACTCTTGGACTTTTCTTCATTTGTAACAAATGACAGATGTAAACAAAATAAAAAAATATTTGTATTTTTACAAATTTAAAGCAAACGGGCGTTCTTTACAAAAAAATTTAGTTAGTGATCGAATTGCGCATATTTTTTTTACAATATCAAGTGCCCACAAGAAGTGTTAAACCACTAAATAGCTTAAAAAACGCTTTCAAAAATTCGAAACGAGAGTGAAGTGCAGTGTTCAATTGTGATGGAAATTGCAGGCAAAATTTGTGCGTGTGTAATTAATGTTTTACTTATTTGAAGAAATGTTGCCCGTTGCCAAACCAAGACCCCCGCTTTCCCCTGGTGGTTACATAATACTTGAATAGCTCCTTAATTAACATGTGTTTGTTTTGAGCACGCACGGCCAGTTAAACAGGCATGTCTGAATCGATTTCCTTCATCATTCTTAGCAATTTGATGTGCATTTTTATTGTTATGTGTTGCAAACAGACATTTTAGGAACTAAATAGGTTCTAAAATCTCTGTACACAAGCGCACTTATTTTTAACAGTTTCCAGTTTATGTAATATTAATCAAAACAGCTTTTATTTATTTTATGTATTATGTGATTTCTGGAAGCGTCGAATACAAAAAAGGGCTGTGACTGGGTTTATGTAATTTGAAATTGTATTGATGATTACTAATAATAATAGAAACGCGCTTACATATCGACACAACTAAAAATTTCATATATCTCAGTAGAGCCAATTAAAGATTTTTTGTTTCGTAATTTAGCAATAATATGTCTTGGAACGTAATTATTCCGGATTATATGCAGTCATACTGTAAGCTTTCAAATTATGTATTTTTCTAAACCTGAAATTTTGAATTGTGCCGTTATTGCAGAGGACCATCGACATATGTTAGTGTTTGGCCGAGCTACTCCTCCGATTGTGGCATGCGCCTTGATGTTGTCGCACAAAGGGGAGGGACCTACAGTTTTACGCCGACTCCTGCCGGGGGCCGACCACTATTACAAAAAACATTTTCTTTTTTTTGTTGGCCGGAACTGGGCTCGGACGCTCACCCTGCGGGATGGTAGTGCGCACTTCTAACCACTACACCACAGCGATCGCTTAATTAATTTTAATCATTTCGTTATTCGTTAATTTTTAGTCATTCATAGACTAACATTTTGTCGACAATACTCGCATAAGATAGTCCCAAATTTTCACAAAAGAGAAAAGTGATTTTCTTCAAAACTTTTGAATGACGTCTTGACTGAACTTACTAATTCGGAATTTCTACTATTACTTATAGAGTAGGCTATTCATAAAGTCTGGGTAATGAAATAAAAATTTTTCTATTATAAGTTCCATAAAAATAAGGAGACTTTTATTGTTTAATTTATTTTATGCACATAAACTTGTATCTTGAACTTCTTTTTCCAAAAAGTGAGGATGTCAAAATTTCAATAGATATCGGATGTACGGTAATTTTCCAAAGAGATCTCCTAATAGATAAGTTCATGAAAACTATTCCAAACGAAAACTTAAAATTGTTAAAAAAAAATAATAACTAAATTTAACTAATTTATATTAGAGGTTTGAAGTTTATCCCACTGTAAGTATGAAATCTTCAGCTATGTGTTTCCATTGTCACTTTTTCGTAGCCATATCAACTGCCTGACAATTAAGAAGATTGTGACGTTTCATGCTACCATACGCAATATCTTAAATCCTTCAAATTTTATTATTAACCTTTTGTTTGTTAAAAACATTTTCTTCTTAGATTCGAAACTTGATCAAGCAAAATTGCCTTTGTTTTTGACTAAGAGATGCTCAATAAGCTCAGAATTGTAGTTCTCATTTGCATACATAACAATAAATTATTAATTTTTGTTTCACACCAACTCCAATATTGAATAGTAAAATATATTTTAATCTTACCCAAATAAACAACGATTTAGTTCAATGGTCAATCATATATAGAGTATAGGGTGGTAATGTGTTAAAGTTTTAAAGTTTTTAAACGTAAAATGACGGCTAATACCTTTTTAAGCGTTTTGTAATTTAACCAAAACTCATTAGCATCCACTCAAGCAAGGAATTATTTACTTTTCAACATGCATTAGCAGAGTGCACTTCTCTTTTGTTTACAATTTGGTTGTCAAACACACTACATCGGATCTTTTGACACATTTACCAGAATTTACCACCAGGTAGCTTCTGACAAAGAGATGACCTTACTTACTCTCTTATTTGTCCTCTCAGTTGCCAGAAAACCAAGTATGATTTCCGGTAAAATCTGGAAATTCTGGTAAAAAATGGTAATTTCGCACTCATGCGGGTTCACAACTAAATAATATTGGGAATACTTTTGAGGTGTTTGAAGAGGGTTGCGACCTGTTTGAAACTAAATTTATTTATAATAATCATATTTTGGCCTTGACACTTTTGCTACGTTTTGGCCGAGCTTCTCCTCCGATTTGTAGCGTGCGCCTTTGCTGTCACACAAATGGGAGGGACCTACAAACTTACGCCGACGCCGAACGGCGATACAATTTTTATGATGAGCTATTTTTTTATTAAAGACACTAAGATTTTTAAAATATTTTCACTAAAATTTTATCAACCTAAATGTTAAACTTATGCGAAGTAGTTATCTAATTTAATGTAAATTTTAAGCATTTTCAAGATAAAACATGAATTATATTTAAAACGTAAATTTTAATACAACTGTTTTATATATAATCCCAAACATATGATATAAAATCCCCTCTACCAAAAAACTTAAATTGGGTAACGCCGGTTTGAATTTTTACAATTGAGCAATTGTCAAAAATCTTCCTTTTTATCAAAAAGTTATTTACCAGGGTGTCTTTGAACTAATGATTGGTACTGAGTTAAAGAATGCACACACATAAAAGATTGCAGCCTTTTCAATACTCATTCAGTGTTAAACCTTTTTTTGATTGGGCATTGGTTTTTTCAATCTTGCTATGAATATGTTGATGTGTGAATTCATAACTGCTTTGAGAGAATGGAAAATTCAACAATTTTAAACCTCAATCGTAAGCGAAGAATAAGTAATGAAAACTGGATAGAAAAAAATTGTTGATTTAAAATTGAAAATGATTTCACACTTACACAGCTCTGCTATACACCTACTATATTTTTTATGAATAAGCCATAAATTTTCATAGGAAATATTTTCGTAGAACATTTTAACCCGTTATCTCCCTCCTGAAAAGATGAACCTTGCTTGAAGAAACGCCCCAAAAAGCAAATTTGGAAGTTTTTTAGAGAATTGCTAAGTTCTAGAAAATTTCTTTGGAAAATTTTACTGGGGGTCCTAAATAAAATAAAAAGTAATCAGCCTTATCATGAGTTTAATTTTCCCCGAACCGGTTTACTTTAATTTTTTTGTTTTCCGTGTATTTACTATGGGCGGATGAAAAATTTTCGGATGTATTTTTTTCGAGCAAAACTCAGGATAAGGCTGAATGAGTAAAATAAAATCTAAATTTTTTATATTTATGTACAAAAATTTATTAAAAACGGGTTATTTTGTTATTTTCTCTTGGCATAGATTTTTTTATTTTAATTTTTAGAGACTTTTACATTGGTGGCATGAAGATTTCGCCTGATAAGGCCCTTAGTAAAAGAATTCGAAGAATATTTCTCTAGAAGATTTTAATCTTTTCATGACTTTCTTAATTTGCTTTTTAAGGGTTTTCATGACGACCCTTTCAGGCGGGAGTTGATGAGTTAAAATGTTCCACGACAATA